CAGCCCCTGGGGTCAGAAGGTTGAAGTTTCTTAAGGAAATAGCCTTCTGTGAAGAAGCATCTCTCTCTTGAGTCCTCTGGCAAAAGCTGATCTGAATCTCACTTAGTATTGCATCCTTGCAAAGAAGATGAATTAAGAGGTTCTGGGAATTGAAAATAGTTTAATTAGCTACTGCTTGATCTAGGGCCCAGCTCATTAATTCATTGACGGGTAGGGAGAGCTAGCAAAGCTGATTTTACCGGAGGAGATGATTATTTGTAACCACAAATATCATGAAGATAGCATCACTGCTGTCTTTTTTTTTTTTTACACAGCAAGCAATAACTGGAGCTGCAAGAGGTGATCACAAAACAAATTCCTCCACAGCCATCATCTGGACCAAGTTTTCCAGGGCTCACTAGCCCCAGGCATGAAGTATTAATAAATTTTACAACCCCGCTGCTAAATTCACCCAGTTTACAAGAGTCATCAGAGCCAAGCTACTAGCAAGCCACAAGACTCACATCAAACTATTTCTATTTAGTATTTGCTTCCAACTGATCCCCTTGTGCCACCCCAGCTCCATGGCATTGGGATAGATCTTGCTGTTACCATTTCCAGCTAGGAAAAAAAAAGCCTTTTTCTCCTCAACTTTCCTCTCCTCCTGCAACCTGCCAGTCTCTGGCAGAGCCCTTCATCCCTATGACATGCTTCAAAGCTTTTCAGGCAGGTTTCCTGCAAAAACACAGTGCTTTGGGCTGATGAGGGCTGCTGCCTCAATTTTCCAGCCCAGAACAACCCTTGGGTGTCACGATGAGCTAGCAGATAGCTAGGTTGCAAATTTGAAAAGTCCAGTGGGATATTGTTAATTTTCCCAGCCCCAACAGCATGAGGGCGCTCAAACAGGGACCCAGAGCGGTGGGGAGTTGACATCCTTGGAGGTGCTCAAAAACACCGAGACATGGACCTGAGCAGCCCAGCTTTGAGATCTCCAGAGCCTTTCCCACACAAATGGTTTGCAATCATCACAAGGAAAAGCTGGAAACAACTTCCCTGGAGCTGGGCAGCATCATTCACGTCAGCATTCAGCCCATCCATCTAACACTGTATATCTGAATGGGTCCTCCAAGGCCCCTTAGGCTGTTCTCCCATGGGAAGGGTGACACATACTTCTGAAGCAGCAAACCTGGAGGAGCTACCCCCTGTGCTACTTTTGAGGTTGGCCTCAGCATGGAGGGGGAAGGCGAGGTGAGAAAACAGCAGGGTTTAAGTGATCCAGAAAGCCTGTAGTTCTCAGCTTTTGGGTGCAAAACTGAGAGCAACCAGAATCCAACACCATGGAAAAACATCTGAGAGGAAGACAACCACAAAGAGCCCAGAAACAGCGTGGTCAGAAGATACCAGGTCTGCTGTCATCTACTACATTGGTCACCCAAGGCTCCTCACTGCTCCATGTCACAGCTGTGGTGGCTGGTCACCAGTGACAGAGGCCAACGCCAAAACCCTCACGTTTACAACCCATGAGAGTCTTGCCCATCGCTGCAGGCCATTCCCAGGGCTGCACCCAGCTGGAGAGGCAAAGCCGAATCCACATTTCAAGTCCCACCTCTGTGTTGCTGCACAAGCTCAAACCTAGCAGTTCCCAAAAAAATTTTCTGGGCGAGAAAGAGGAGGAAACGCTTCTCCCCTAGGGTCGAAACACACCTCCCAGCCAGGTCAGCTCTGGGGTGCCCACAGCCAGGTTTTGCACGCTTTGCTTTACCAAAAGCCACCCCTTGCAAGGCTGGGAGCATTGCTAGGACACCTGTGTCAGTGATTTTGGGCTGAAGATGTATCAAAAAGCAACAGGAGGTTCCCAAAGAAGAAGGGAGACATTAAAGAGCAAGCTTCTAGGGGGAAGTACAAGCTGCCTGGAGGAGCACAGCACTGAGGGCAATGCAAACACCGGCTCCCCTTCTCCTTCCCATGAGAAATTGCGCTCTGTTTGGGGCACAAGACTCAGGAGGCGGTTTGCCATTCCCTGCATGCTTGGGCATCTGCCAAAGCATCACCAGTTCCACCTTCTTCACCCCTTAAACCTGCCCACAAGCTATTTTTGACCCCATTATCCTTCCCCCCCCTCCCCCAATAAAGCAGCATCACCAGCTAACAGAGAGAGGCGAGGGGCAACCCTTCCTCTCCTGGTCCCATGGATTCCTCTCTGCATTCCATAGCAAATTGCCCCTTCATCAGTGTCCTGGGCGCCCAGCGTGGGGCTCTGTCCTGGGTTGAGTGAGTGGTGGAGATTTTTGGTGGCAGGGGAGGGGGCTATCGGGGCGGCCCCCTGTGAGAAGCTTCTCGAAGCTCCCCCAGCTCCACTTCTGTTTGGGAAATTGAGCCCATCGGCTGCGCCTCTGCGATAACGTATTTAAGAAGGGACGTGGTGAGGAGCAGTGGGACTGGTGAGGAGGAGTTGCTGCAGCTGCATGAACACCAAGGTCAGTGGAGGAACAGAGGAAGAAAGGAGGGGGGAGGTGTGCCAGAGCAGAGACCCCCCTGTATCCTGTGGGGAGACGGCAGGGCGGACCCCCCCCCGCCACCCATGAAGATCTGCGGTGGAGCAGACATTGATTTATGGCCTGTGGCTCCTGCTCCAATGATCAAGGTTATGTGCCCGAAGAAGGCCGGGGTCTCATGGGAAAAGGCAGCCCCGCTGTTGTAGTTCAGCGCTGGGAGGATTGCAGCGTGCGGGGGAGTCCCACGCCGGAGCAGCTCGGGAAGGGCTGCAGCCGTGGGAGGGAATCCAGTCAGAGGAAGTTAGTGACCCATGACGGAGCAGTGTGGGGAACGCTGCGGCCCATGGGAGGAATTCAAGTCGGAGAAAGTTTGTGGAGGACTGTCTCCTGTGAGAGGGGGACCACGATGGAGCAGGAGGAACAAGTTTCGGACACTCCCCTCACCGAAGATAAGGGGAGTGGCAGCGCTGACTGCACCCCCCATTCCCTGCCCCACTGGGGGAGGAGGTAGAGATATCGGGAGCAGAGCTGAGCCCGGGAAGAAGGGAGGGGTGGGGGGAAGGTGTTCTCAAGATGGGGCAATGCTTCTCACTGTCCTACTCTGTTATGTGTTGCTAGTGTCTCTAATAAATGTATGTTCTTTTTTTAATTCCCCTAACGAGTCTGCCTTTTGCTCATGACCATAAAGGGGAATTTTCTCCCCGTCCCAGTCCTATCTCAAACCCCAAGCCTGGCTCTCTGTCCCTTCTCGTTGCCGGAGGGGAAGGGAGAGAGAGGTGCTGCATTGTGGTTGGCTGCCAACCGGGCCCAAACCACGGCAATCAGCTCTTCTTACAAGAGGTCACAGCTGGCCCAGGCTCATCCCCATCCAGGTTATGACTGTTGAGCAGTTGGGCTCAAAACACAAGCCAGGACCTTTGAGGCAGGGCAAGTAGCAGCTACTCCAGGGGCCAAATGCTTTACACCCTCAATCCTGCCAGCAAAGCCCTGCAGACCCAAACTGCTGCACTGCCAGCCCTGAAGTTCAAAGCAGAGACATTTTGCCTGGGGCAGGGGAAAAGGCTTTTGAACTTCCACAAAGGTTTCTGAAGAGCACAGAGAGGGGTTATTCACCCACACACCCAAAGCATTTGATTAGGCTGGGCATGCCAAGCCTAAAATAATAGTTAAACCTAAACCTAGGTTTGGGCCTTCTTCTACCTGACACAGAGAATAAAGAAAGCAAACGAGGGGATGAAGAGGAATGAACTCCCCAAGGCATCTTTCAGGGAGGTGGGAAGTTAAATTTAAAAGAATTTTCAGCAGGAAACACTCTAGGCCAAATCAAGTATTGCCAGTAAAAATTTGCATTTAAAGTAAACAGCAAAACTAACACAAACTGGATTAAATCAGCAAATAATTATGTACAGCCAGCAGAGGTCTGCTCAGCAGCCCATGCCCAGGCAGAGAATATTTCAGCATTCACAGCCAGGTGCTGAATTTAACTCATCACTAGAAGTTTGGGATGGCTCCTTCAGGAACCTGCTATCAGTCCCTCCTGGATAGCATTTTCTTTCCCCTGCTTATCTTGGTGTCACATATTGCATAGCAACAAACAAGCCTCTGTATTTTATTTTGCTAGTGTAGGTTGGTTTTGAGTTTGGTTTGGTTTTTTTTTTTTGTATAATCCCAGTTATTTTCTCCTCTCACCCTCTAAAATTAAGGGCTCCTCCAGCAGCACTGCGTGGCTCATTGCCACTGCAGGCAGCTTTGGAGTCACAGAAGAATTGGTGGGTTGACTTAATTATAAGGCAGAATTTTAAAACCTCACCCCAAGTCACTTAATCTAGGGTAGATGGCAAGCTCCCCAGTATATTTTCTTACCAAATCGTATCTCCCCAAATTCACAACTCTCTCTGCTGTCCACTTCCCCCCCCCGCCAAATCTATTAAGGCTGTGATTTTGGTGGCTATATGAATCTCCAGCACAATTCATGGGATTTTGCCCATCACTCTCTACAGCCTCGGAGTTCCACAGTGATGCAGAGCTGCAATAACCTCCCCACTCATTTATCCTCCCTCTTGCTTCTACAGCCCAGAGCTGCTGCAGTCACACAAGGAACCTATTACAACTGGGATGCTACAATGCAACAAATTTCAGGCACTTTTTAGATCACATACAGACTTCAATACATACTTAAGAGTAAAATTAGTCTAGGAAGCCACAGAAGTACACACCAGCATACAGCAAATACACAGCATTCCCTTACTCACCAGCTTAAGAGTTACATTGCTGATTGACACCACATAACACAGCTCTTGCTGGGGCAGCAGGTGACTTACAGAACACACAGTCAACCAAAACATCCCCAAAAACCTAATTTCTAAGGAAACCATTTAACACACTCCTTCTTCAAGATCAGAAAACTTTAAAAAAAAAAACAAAAACAAAAAAAAAAAAACCAACAAACAAACAAACAAACAAAAAAAAAACCTGCTCTAAAGGGCTTTGCAAAGATTTCCTTACCACTATCCTTAAACAGCACCTTCAATGCCCAGCACACCTTGCACACTGCTGGCTTCCTCCCCAGGGAAATAAACTCCATCTCATGCCACTCCAAACAACGAGACTTCACCCACCTCCTGATAAAAAACACAAAGCAAACTTATATTTAGCAAAAACACCACAGCTCAAAGTCACACAACCTCCACCTACCCTGCTTTTGAATCACCAAAGCACAAGGACCTGCAACACAAAGCTACCTGAGAGCAGGAAGAGCACTCATTAACGAACAAACCACCTCAACCTGGGCCATACCAACCAGCTGCAAAATATAACCCCCAAAGCTGAGCTCAGCTGAGCTCAATTTAAGGCTGAAGCAACAGCACAAGGGGAAGGTAGGAAGCTTGAATAAGTGTTCACTTGCACACACACTTGTGTAATCCATCTTGCAGGAGACAGCTTGTTTCTGGGACTTTTAGACTATATGATTTCCAAATTAATCATGAGGAGCAGCTTGGCAAAATGAGTTATTTCTGCTAACGGATATCTAAGCATCCAAGTGCTGCTCGGTGCTGTGGAAAATAGCTTGTGCGGCTTCTCGCTGTCTCTTCTGTGTTCATGGGGGTGCCAGGACAAGTTGTTTGCCTACCCTGCTTGAGGAATACACCAAGGTAGATGTTCCCTTCTAGATCCAGCTGTTTTAAGAAAAGACATTATTGTCTTGCTGGGTGCAAGCTGTTGTCCCCCACTGGTGCCATACCCAAATTTAAGCACAGCTTGATCCACCTGCTACCCAAGCAAAAAGCCTCTGCCACCAGCTTGCAAGGCATATTTATTATTTGGGACCTGAAGCCACATTTTGGGGAGGTGGCAAATCTTGAACCCATTCCTGGCATTGCTGGCACCTGGCTTTATGCAACAGGGAAATGGGGTCCAAGGTGGACGGAGGAGCTGGAATCTCAGAAGCAGGAAAAACGCCATCTCTGACAATCTCTGAAGGACGAGGCCAGTTTTCCCTCCCAGACAATCACACTTTGTATGTGCTTGATGTTATGCTGGCCCAGGGAACTCTGCTGGGAAACCTGGAGTGTAAGAAGTTCCTGTCCTTCTGGAAAACACAACAGGAAAAGGCAAGGTTTTCTCCAGCTGCCAGTTACAAAGTGCTCTGAAAGGGCTGATGTTATACATGAAGGTATACGAGCGTCCCCAGGGGTGGGAAGGAGGGGGCTTGTTGGAACAGCCCCGTGCATTCACGCCCAGAATAGCACTGGCATCTTCACAGGGACCCACAAGCATTAATTAGTTGTCAAAACCTTGCAATAATCTGCTTGGTTTTGCCAAGCAATAAATACATCTGTTCTCCCTCACACAGGTTTCTGTCCTAGGGTTAAATTACTTCTTTCTCCCCTTTAATGCAATCTCTTCCAAAAGAAAAAAAAGGTATCCTTGGGGTGAAATCCTCCCCAGACTACCCAACACTCAGCAGCCTGAACATGCTGATACACACATGCCCCTTCCAGAGCCTGCTTCGGTCGAGACATCATGCTGCATTTCAGTTCCTTGTACACCAGCAGCACAGGGAAAAAAAGAGCCAATTCTTTTCAACAGGAGCATGCAAAGGCATTGCCCCCTTTTTCCTAATGGGGAAACTGAGGCAGGAGGCAGGGATGTGCTCTCTCTGCAGTGATCCGTGGGGTGATGCTACCCACTTGGATCAATTTGGGGATGGAGGGAGTGGAAAAGGGTTTTCTGGGGTGCAAAAGGATTTGCTGGGGTGGACTGAGATGGCTGCTAACGTTGTCCTCGCCTGCCAGGGCGTCTGCTCCTTTGGGCTTCACCCTTTACCAAATTTATAGCAACACCTCAAAGCAGCCTGGTGATGGAGGGGGGATTGGAAATGCCATCACCCACGAGCCTTCCCCAGCTCGGCTGGCTGCTCGCCCATTCCTCCTCCTGCATTTTTAGGCAATGCTGCCATCGAGTGGTCCAGGAGCATCCGGATGCGGGAGGAGCGCTCGGCCACCAGCCTGGACCCCCCTGTGGGACGGTCACCCAGGGCTGCTGGAAACGCGGAGGCCCTGGTTGAAATGTATCTCCTTCTTCATCCATCCTCGGGTTAAAAAGCTCAGTCTCACTTCAACAACCAACCTGGTGTTGGGAACTAAAGATTTTCAATCCCTCAGGCTTCCCTAAGGGCTTGCTCCAGCATAAGAACCGAGCATCCTCCCTCCATGACACTCAGCTGTGCAATTCAAACCCAAATTTCTTCCAGTTTTTGGAGAGCCACCGCTTTACCTGGGAGGGGTTCCTCCAGCTCAGTGCTCTTCTTCCACCAGTTTGGGAGGCTGCATCCCTCGAATGTGATTTAAGAGCACCCTTTAGCAAACCAGAGGGACGCACTCGGCTTTCCAAGGTGATTCTCCTCTTCATTGGTGCATCCTGAGGGAAAAGCAGCTCTCCTGGCAGGCAACAACAGAGTTGTTATTTTTTTGCCCACACTTGGCAATAACACAACCCTGGAGGAGTAAGTTAAAATCACCCCTGTCTGGTGGATATTATAAACCTGGACTGTGGGAAGGTGTGAATCTCTGTTTGCAGTTTAATTAGATTCCGACCGCTTATTCATGGGAGAAAAGACTCTTCACGGAGAAGGTTTCACCAGCCCAACAGGAACTGTGTTTGCTTTACGAGCGAAGGGGCACTAAAATGAAACCTCCTGCTTGCAGCGGTAGGAAGCTGGTCGCACTGGAGTGGGAAGACATTTTCCTTCTTTGAGAAGTCAAACATTTGCTTTGTTCGTCGGGGATGCAAAGCGCTCGCCGACCACAGAGCCGCTTGGAGAAATCCCGATGCTGTTACACTGGAAAGCTTTAGAATATGTAAATATAATAACAGAAGCTTTACAATTATCAGCGTGTTTTAAACTCCTGGTGACTTTTTAGAGCGTTTTTGGCCCAGATGCCTGTCAGCCCCCCCCCCCCCCCCAGAGATGGGAAGATTTTGAGGGCAAGCAGGAGAGAGGATACGGGGAAAGGCGAGGGGTCCTGCCCACTGGGCAGGGCAGCTCTGTGCTGCGGGGGGCGGCTCGGGGAGGGGGGTTCAGAGCCCCCCCAGGCCCGGGTGGAGGGGAGGGGGGGCCGGGGAGGGCTCTCCGTGCCGGCTCTGCCCACCGCTCGCTGGCACCGCCCGAGCCGCCTATAAAAGCCCCGGTAGCAGCTCGCCCGCCGCAGCCGGCTCCAGCCCGGAGCCCTGCCCGGCCCCGAACCGGGAGGGATCCGCATCCCAACAGCCTGCTCCGGTCCTGGACCGGGAGGGATCCGCATCCCAACAGCCTGCTCCGGTCCTGAACCGGGAGGGACCCGCATCCCAACAGCCTGCTCCGGTCCTGGACCGGGAGGGACCCGCATCCCAACAGCCTGCTCCGGTTCTGAATCGGGAGGGATCCGCATCCCAACAGCCTGCTCCGGTCCTGGACCGGGAGGGACCCGCATCCCAACAGCCTGCTCCGGTCCTGGACCGGGAGGGACCCGCATCCCAACAGCCTGCTCCGGTCCTGGACCGGGAGGGACCCGCATCCCAACAGCCTGCTCCGGTTCTGAATCGGGAGGGATCCGCATCCCAACAGCCTGCTCCGGTCCTGGACCGGGAGGGACCCGCATCCCAACAGCCTGCTCCGGTCCTGGACCGGGAGGGACCCGCATCCCAACAGCCTGCTCCGGTCCTGGACCGGGAGGGACCCGCATCCCAACAGCCTGCTCCGGTCCTGGACCGGGAGGGATCCGCATCCCAACAGCCTGCTCCGGTCCTGGACCGGGAGGGATCCGCATCCTGAATCGGCTGCACGCCGAGCCGGGAGGAACCCGCATCCCGCTCCGATTCTTAACGGGGAGAGACCCGCATCCCGAACCGGCTCCGGCTCTGAACCAGGAGGCATCTGCATCCCGCATCCCGCTCCGATCCCGAACGGGGAGGGACCTGCATCCCGCACCGGCTCCGGTCCCAAACAGGGGAGGACCCGCATCCCACACCAGCTCCAATCCTGAACCGGTAGGAACCTGCATCCTACATCCCGAACCAGTTCCAGTACCGAAGCGAGAGGGACCTGCATCCCTCACCGGCTCTGGTCCCAAAACAGGGAGGGACCCGCTTTCTGCTCTTGTCCTGAACCTGAGAGTACCTGCACCCCAAACCAGGAGGGACCCGCTTCTTGCTCCAGTCCCGAGCCGGGAGGGACCCGCATCCCTCTCCAGCCCTGAGTCGGGAGGGACCCGCATCCCGAGCCGGCTGCATGCTGGATCGGGAGGCATCTGTGCTCCTGTGAAGCTGCAGCTAAGCCCGGAGGGACCTGCACCCCGAACCAGCCATGCACCCCAAATCAACTGCACCCTGAACCAGAAAGGTCTTCTACTCCAAACTGGCTGCACCCTGAAGCAGGAGAGACCTGAACCAGCTGTGCACCCCGAACTAGCTGTCCCCTGAACTGGGAGGTACCTGTGCCCTGAACCAGCCACGCACCCCAAAATGGCTCCCCTCTGAACCAGGAGGGACCTGCACCCCAAACCAGCTTGCGTGCCCCCATCTTGTTGTACCCTGATCCTGTATCCTCTACACCAGGAGGGACCTGCGCCCCAAGGCGTCCGTGTGCCGGGTCTGGCACGGCGTGATGGATAACGCTCTGCCGCTGGAAGCGGAGCTGGAACACCAGGGGCTACTCAACGGCTCCCTGAACGAGTCCTTCGCCAACCAGTTCGTGCAGCCCCCGTGGCAGGTGGCCCTGTGGGCTGTCGCCTACGCCCTCATCGTGGTGGTGTCAGTGGTGGGGAACGTGGTGGTGATGTGGATCATCCTGGCTCACAAGAGGATGCGCACCGTCACCAACTACTTCTTGGTGAACCTGGCTTTTGCCGAAGCCTCCATGTCCGCCTTCAACACGGTGGTGAACTTCACCTACGCCATCCACAACGAGTGGTACTATGGGCTGCTCTACTGCAAGTTTCACAACTTCTTCCCCATCGCCGCCGTCTTCGCCAGCATCTACTCCATGACGGCCATCGCCCTGGACAGGTGAGCTCTGAGCATCAAACCCCAAACCCACCCCGGCGCCCAGGTCTGCCTCCACCCGGGTGCTGTGCTCAGCTCTGTCTGCTCTCTGGTCACGGGAGAACACTGCAATAAAAAATAAAGCTCGTTTTGGTAAAAGAGCGCTAGAAATAATCCATCTCCCCGCCCTGGTTGCAGGTGGCTTTGGGAATCCTTTGTCAGCATTGCGGAAGGAGCTCGAGAAAAGGCTTTGTAACCCCCGTGCATGTCTGTAGCTTGTTTTGGGTGTGCGTTTGTAGCATCGCCGTCCTCTCCCTTCTCAGCTCCTCTGCAGAGCTGTCCATTCCTTTCCCAACCTCCTCATTTAAAAGCAAACTCAATGTTTAGCACAAAATGGCATCACCTCGGGACATAAAATACATGCCGGTGTCGGCCGTGCCCCCGCTGCGCTGCTGAAGCTGTTTCGTGTCTCTTGATCTGGGTTGGGACCTGTCTGAGGAGCCTCGGGGGGAAGCTCGGGCTCAGGGAAGGAATCTTGACTTGGCGGGTGTGTGTTGTCGTGCTGATGTGTCCCCAAGCAAACCCACCTCGATTTTATTAGCAGAGGTCAGAGGGGAGAGCTAGGTGCCAGGGATTTCTCTCGTCTGGTTGCAGCCAGCACAGTTCAGTTGTGGGGTTTGTTTTTTTTTTTTACCGCTGGTTTCTGCCCGATGGCTGGGGACCGCCATGGAGATCCCAGCAGCGTTTGAGAGCGAGATCCCGCTTGCGTTTTGCCGCCATCAAAAGTTCAGCAAGCGCTCGGCGGGGTGCGATGGCACGGGGGGACGCTGCCTTTTTCACTGCAGAGGGATGTGTCAGGGGTCGAGGGACGCAAAATAGCCACGCACCAAACACCTCCAGTGCGCAGCTTCCCTCTCTTCTCTCGCCCCTCCAAGAAATCTTCTATTTGACGGCATTTTCACGCCGGAGCTAGAGATAAATTGAAGCTCTCAAACTGCTTTGCAATTCCCTCTTGAGTACTGGCGTTTCAAGCGCAACAGATTTTTCCAATGCAACATATTTCCTGAAGACAGCTCGACGCTGCAACGCCTCTCTTTGGTCCTTCTTCCCAGGGAGTAAAAGACATTTTGGCTGGGGATACATTGTGAAAGGGGGGGGAGAGATTTGCCTTGCCGTATGCCAGCACATTTTGAGCTGATGTCTAAGTGCTGCACAAACTGGCACGGATATTTCCCTACGAGAAATTAGAGTGCTGCCACAACTCACGCACTGACAGCTTGGGAAACAGAGCCTGAGATGGATGATGCTCTCTAGTCATTAAAAACAGGCTCACGTTTTGTTTCACTCTGGAGTGGTTACAAGACCCTCTGCCCGAAATAAATTGGACGTAGCCAAGCTCTCATACCAGAGATGTGAGGAGAATTAAGGCAATAATAAAAGAGGAATACTACCAGTGTGGCTCTGTTCCTACCTGATGGTGTTGCTGGCTCTGTTTCAGGAGCATCTGCATTTCAAGGATTTGGGGATCAGCCGGCAAAGCCTCCTTCAGGCTAGGATGAATTAAGAGAGATGATTTATTTTTTAATAGTTTGGTTTTTAGCCTTTGGTCCACACCCCGGAATAACCAGAAAAGCAAATCTGCCAGGGGAAGCTGGAGGAGAATGTGTAAAACAGGGAGAAAAGGCAGGTCTGGGAGCCTGGGGCTGAATTTGGGGGGGGAAATTGGCATTTCCAGCTTTCTGCTTGCATCTTCAAACCCTTAACAGAGGCTTGATTTCCCCATGGCTGGGCTGCAAAACCTGTGTGTGCAGGCTTGGGTCACCCACCACGGAGGACCCCAAAAGAAGCTGCAGCCTTGGTGTGCAAACACCTCCTGCACAGAGCTACCTGCTGCATTTTTTGGCCCCAAATTTCCAGCGAGGCGGGAAATTGGGAAGGTAAAGGCAGAAAAGTCCATCCTCTGCCCCTCCGGGCAAGCAGCACACAACAATATCTCCAAGCAGTGCAAAACTGCTTGCTTTCCTGCGTCTGAGACCTGACAATAGTAACTTAAATGCATGAAATGCAGGAACTTGTTCCAGGGACATAAAAGGGAAGAATTTGTCCTGGCAAGCAGCAAAAATCTGTGCTGGAACAAGCAAAGCAAGTACTTGAATTCGGAGCAGCAGAGCCAGGTAGCCTCAGCAAAACGGGTTATATTCACAGCCAGGACATATCTGAAATCAAACATGACTGCAGTTCTGATTTTCATCAAAAACTAGGAAAGCAGAATTGGATGTGCCTTGTGTTCCCAAAGTGTATTAAGCCATCTAGCAGAGTGGTCAGATACGGAGTCTGAAGGCTCAGAAGAGCATCAGCCCGCACGTTGCTCTCCTAAATCATCTCTGCTTGTGCTTTCTGCAAGCAATTTCCAGAACATCCTTGCCAGAGAATACGAAACTGCCGTGGAAAGACTCGGCACAGCCATAACGGAGCTGTTGAGAGAACAAGTGAAGTGGGTTTGATTCTCCCAGTGGCTTTATTTGCAGGACCTGCCATGGGTTTCTGCAAGAAAAAAAAAGGCTTTTGCTTGAAGCTAGACCATCCACTCTTTCACCAGGACTTATTTCAGCCTGGACACAACCACACTGAAGAAAAAAAAATAAGTTAATTGTATATCAAGTATTATCCTGAACCCGGTAACAATAGCAGGAAATTCAGGAGTCGAGGCTGGCAGCTGGTAAAGTCTGCTCAGGAAAAGCCATGATGCTGATTCTCAGCATCCTGCAAAAGTGGGGGCCAAACAGCTCGCTTTGGCACTGTGAAATTTGCCATGTCCTTCATTTTCGGGCCAGAGCACATCACATATCCCTTTCCGGATTCCAACTCTCCCTGTGAATCAATTCGCTTGAAAGAGATAGACAGAAAATCCTGTTTTTTTCCAATTTTCCAGGAGAAGTGAGAGCACAGCAGTGTCTATGGTGAGTCCAAGCTAATTTGCAGCCACACTTAGAGAAAGGAAAAAAACCTCTGGACATCCCTAAGTTGCAATATCTGTGGCGCATGGGATAAAGTATCAGTAGAGAAACTGTTGACATTCTTCTTTCTCCTTGGGACCTGGATTAATTTCTGAGCGTGACAACTCGCCCTCACCGTTAGCAAACTTCTGATGGAGGAATGAGTTTCTGTGGTGACGGGAATGCAGCCGAAGGTGAAGACCCTGGATGACTCGCAGAATTGGAAAAAAATCATCTCTGATCTCAAAACTTTCAGTGAGCTAAACCGGAAACACCGCAGACTGAACAAATCCTGGTGAGAAGGGTGAGAGCCCTGCCGTGAACCCGGGGTGAAGACAGACAGCGCAGCACTTGGGCGATTTAATACAAAACGATTTCCCTTCTTCTGCAAAGTGTCCTCTGTTCTAAAGCAGCTATAAAAATGACATACGGTGGGACTAACCTCCTACAACTCCTACACCAATTTGCTGCTTTTGCTCATTAAAAGAGCCCCCTCTCTGACCTCCACCAGCGCCAACACTGCCAGACCAGCACGCAGGGCTGGGCAAGCCAACTGGGATCTTCTTCACATTCCCTTTTTTATTTCCAAAGGGGTTATCAAATTCTAATAGGTGTCTTAATATTCATCAATTTGCTAGCAGAAGCTGCAGAAGAAACGTCAAATCAGCAAACCTCCATTCAGCACCACAGCTCCTAAAACTGCTAGTCTGCAGCCAAGACCTTTTAATATCTTTCCAACCCCACAATATTTGCAGCAGAAAAAACGGCTTGGAAAATTATTTACTACTTGCAAGCTTGAACTCCCAGGCTGCATGAACCAGCTGAATATTAGGAACATATTTGCCAGCTCAGCCACCCCATGCCTTCTCCGAGAGGTGATTACTGCAGAAAGAAACCCTCTGGAGAGGACAAATTACATCAGCGCGCAGACAGATTAATTAGTCATTTACACCCTAATATAGCACCGGTTGTGGGTTTGGGTTTGTTTGTTTGGTTTTTTTTTTTTAATCTTGACTTAATGGACTTCTGGGGTTTGCAGAGCAGGACTTTGATCTGCACCTGGCGCTGTGTAACCTTGCTCTGCTGGGATGTAATTTGAAAGATGGAAGAGCAAGGGGGGAGGCGTAAGGAGCCTGGGGTTTAGGGCCAGCAGCCCCTGCACCAGCCACCCTGCGGCCTTGCCTACGCACCAGCTAGCACTAACCAAAGCAGCTTCTTGCATTCCTGAAAAATCATCACTGAACACAGCAAAAACCCTATGAAGCTGCTGGAGACCCAGCATGGAGCTGGCTGGAAGCGTTGATTGCCCAGCTGGGGTTAGAAAGCAGGGCAGTGGGGATAGACCAGGGAACGCCTTAGTAAGGGGTCACTCATTGTGAGAAACAAGCCCACGTATATATAAAAAAAAAAGTTTTACTGGGGACAAAGTCAGTGGAGTAAAGAATACAGCGCTGGGCGCAAAGGCGTGCCCTGGAGCCAAAAGGGGCTCCCTTTTATTGTATAAAAGGTGACATATTCATTTACCCTAATACATATTCATCACTACTCCAAGGATAGGGAGGGAATGTTACAATTAGTTCCGAGAAATCATTAACATATCCCCCCCCTCCAAATTCCTCCCGTTGCGCTTGCACAGTGCTCCCTGGTGGTCGTGGGCAGGGGTCTGCAGATGAAGGCTCGCAGTCTTCTTCGCTGTGTTCGCTAGCTGACCCTTCCTTCTGCGCCAACTCAGCCCTGTGGTCACGTACACCTTGTCCTTCAAGTCTGGGCTAATTTGCCTTTGTCTTTCTGGCTCAGTGGTTTCAGTTCCCCTCTTATCTCAAGGACAAGAGATACCAGGGAGGGCCCGTCCTGTTCTTTCTCATTCCATTGCAAAGGAGTTACCGCCCTGTGATATGGACCATCTGGTGAGCATCCCAAGGAGGGGGGGCTGTTGGGTTGGTGTTTCCTCAGATCAATTCCCCCCCTTTTCTTTTCCCAGTAGTAAATTCTTTTACTTTTCTTAAAATTTGGATCGTTGTACTAATA